CTGGAGACTGTGTCTCAAAAAAAAAAAAAAAAAAAAACGTAAGTGCAGCCAGGTACATTGTAGGTCACGCAGATGTAATCCCAGCACTTTTGGAGGCCGCAAAGTGGGAGGTTGCTGAGCCCAAGGGTTCAAGACCAGGCCTGGGCAATATAGCAAAACCCGTCTCTACAAAAAATATACAAAATCTAGCCAAGCATGGTGGTTGCTCACCTGTAACTCTTAGCTTACTTTGGGAGACTAGGGTGGGAGGATCCGAGCCCTGGAGTGAGGTCATTGCAGTGAAGCTATAGATTGCACCACTGCACTCCAGCCTGTGGGCAACCAGGCAGACCCTCGTCTTAAAAAAAAAAAATTAAATAAATAAATAAATAAAGACACCAGTCATATTGGATTTAGGGTCCACCTTAATCCAATGTGACCTTCCACATTAAAACTTAAACTGATTAACATCGCAAAGACCCTGTTCCAAATAATACATTTCAGGAAGAACTGAGGGTCAGGACTTCAACAGTAATATATATATTTTGAGACAGAGTCGCTCTGTCACCCCAGGATGGGAGTTTTGCAGTGGCACAATCTCGGGCTCCACTGGGAAGCTCTGTTCTCCCAGGTTCAACGCCATTCTCCTGCCTCAAGCCTTCTGAGTAGCTGGACTACAGGGCACCCGTCACCGCGCCTGACTAATTTTTTGTATTTTGGTTAGAGACGGGGTTTCACCATGGTCTTCAATCTCCTTTGACCTCGTGATCCGCCCGCCTCGGCCCTCCCCAAAGTGATGGGATTACCCAGCGTGAGCCACTGCGGGCCTGGCCAATATTTTTTTTTTTGAGACGGTCTCGAAATGGCGCAATCTCAGCTCACTGCAACTTCTGCCTCCCGGGTTCAAGCAATTCTCTTGCCTCAGCCTCCTGAGTAGCTGAGACTACAGGCAAGTGCCACCACACCTGGCTAATTTTTGTATTTTTAATAGAGACAGGGTTTCGCCATGTTGGCCAGGCTGGTCTCCAACTCCTGACTTCTGGTGATCAGCCTGCCTTGGCCTCCCAAAGTGCTGAGATTACAGGCATGAGCCACCGCGCCTGGTCGACAGCCCCATTTTACAGACAGAAAACTGATACCCAGGTACATGGATTGTCTGTGAGCAGATCACACAGCTGGTAAGAGGCAGAGCTGGTCTCAGTGGCTGCTGAGCCCTTACGTGTATGTGACATGAAACACAGAGGGTCATTTATATATTCCAACAACCTTGCAAGGCAGAAAATACCTTCATGTTAAAGATGAGGAAACGGAGGCAAGGAGCGAGTAAGCAACTTGCCTGAGGTCAGGTGGGTGCCAGAGCAGGGACTTGAGCCTCGGGAACTGACCATGGGACCCTCTAGGGGACCACGGGCTCCATCTCCTGGGCGGTGGAATGAGGGTCTCTTTCAGCACAAATGTTCCATAACCACAGGGAGAAACAGGGACTGCAGCCTATTCCCCCAGGACTGGGCAATGGAGAAACCCTGACTGGTTAAGACCTTCCAGGTAGGCCAGGCGTGGTGGCTCACACCTGTAATCCCAGCACTTTGAGAGGCTGAGGTGGGCAGATCACAAGGTCAGGAGTTCGAGACCGGCCTAGGCAACATGAGACCCCCATCTCAAAAAAAAAGAAAAAAGACATTTCAGATGGGACTACACATAGGCCCTGCTCTTGGCCCAGGCAGCAACTGCCACGCTCTGGGGACCTGAGTCAGCTTCTAGGTATTTCAGAGCCTGAGGATCCACCAGAGCCACTCTCACCGCACAGGGGTTATTAATGAATGCTAATTAATATCTGTGTTCACAGAGCCAGCCAGGCCCCTGGGCCTGGAACATCCACAGGAGGAAAGTACAAGAACCCCAGCACCCTGCCAAGCAGCAGGGACTCTTCAGACGCCCGAGGGCTGGTTTGCCCAGAGCCAGCTGGGAAGGACTCATGGTGACCAGAAGGGGAAACTGAGGCACTGCTGAGCACCAACAGTCCTGGAGAGCTTTAAGAATGGTTGCCATCTGAGGCCAGGCACAGTGGTTCATGCCTATAATCCCAGCACTTTGGGAGGCCAAGGCAGGCGGATCACTTGAGGTCAGGAGTTCGAGACTTGTCAGGCCTCTGAGCCCTAGCTAAGCCATCATATCCCCTGTGACCTGCACATAGACATCCAGATGGCCTGAAGCAACTGAAGATCCACAAAAGAAGTGAAAATAGCCAGTTCCTACCTTAACTGATGACATTCCACCATTGTGATTTGTTCTGGCCCAACCCTAACTGATCAATGTCTTTGTGACAATACACCCTCCCCACCCTTGTGATAATGTACTTTGTGATACTCCCCCGCCCTTATGAATGTACTTTGTACCATACACCCTCCCCACCCTTGAGAAGGTACATTGTAATATTCTCCCCGCCCACCTTGAGAATGTACTTTGTACAATCCACCCCCTCCCTGCAAAAAGATTGCTCCTGGCCAGGCACGGTGGCTCACGCCTGTAATTCCAGCACTTTGGGAGGCCGAGGCGGGTGGATCACGAGGTCAGGAGATGGAGACCATCCTGGCTAACACTGTGAAACCCCGTCTCTACTAAAAATTAACAAAAAATTAACCAGGCGTGGTGGCAGGCGCCCGTAGTCCCAGCTACTCAGGAGGCAGAGGCAGGAGACTGGCGTGAAGCTGGGAGGTGGAGCTTGCAGTGAGCCGAGATCGCACCACTGCACTCCAGGGAAAAAAAAAAATTGCTCCTAACTCCACCACCTATCCCAAACCTATACGAACTAATGATAATCCCACCACCCTTTGCTGACTCTCTTTTCGGACTCAGCCCGCCTGCACCCAGGTGATTAAAAAGCTTTATTGCTCACACAAATCCTGTTTGGTGGACTGTCTTCACATGGACGTGTGTGACAGAGACCAGCCTGGTCAACATGGTGAAACCTTGTGTCTACCAAAAATACAAAAATTAGCCAGGCATGGTGGCGCGCACCTCTAATCCCAGCTACTTGGGAGGCTGAGGCAGGAGAATCTCTTGAACCCAGGAGGCAGGAGGCAGAGGTTGCAGTGAGCTGAGACTGTGCCACTGCACTCCAGTCTGGGCAGCAGAGTGATACCCTGCTCCGTCCCCTCCCCACACAAGAATGGTTGCCATTTGAAAGGAACAAAGAAATGGGTGTTGGAGACCCCAGAGCCATCAGCTTCCACAAGAGCTCTGGACCTTACCCCAGCCTCAGCTTCCTCATCAGTAAATGAGAACATGAATTTCTTTCCTTATATGTAGTAGGCATAAGAACTCATTAAGCATTTGTGCATGTGAAATGCTTTGCAGGTAATCAGTTTCCAATAGGTGTTAACTCCCTTTCCCTCACTGTGCCTCAGTTTCCCTCTTGGGCATACAAGAAGCCGGCAGGGCTTTGAGGCTACCCTCTGGGAGGACTTCAGGCATGGTGCCTTGACTTAGACCTCGGGGCAAGTATGAAAAATCACTTCTGATCGGCCTCATTAATAACACAGTTGCTAATGTGGCAGTAAGACAGTTCCCTAGCCCCTGATTAAAAACAGAAGTTTCCCCCACATTCGTGGAGACGAAGCAGAAGGGAAAACAAAGACAAGCACACTTGTGCCAGATAAATACAGACGCAAACACATGCACGGCAGATAAACACACACTGGCACACCAAATATACACACAGCCGGCTGCAGACATCCGGGTGGGCTCGCACAGCCCGGCTCGCACAGCCCAAAGAGACCCCCAGGAAGAGCCGCCCCAAAAGGAAGAGAAACCGCTGCAGAGATGTCCTGCTGGACCCTGGCCACATCTGGGACCTGATCACTTCAGTGTACTGGAACAGGAGACAGAAGTGGGGGAAATTAACATCCCTGGGAGTAGCCCTGAGCCAGAGATGGAATGAGTTGGTGGATAAATACCCCAGCTCCCTCCCCAGCAGATGCCTAATCCACAGTCTCCCAGAGATCCCTGGAGGGGTCAGGCTCCAGTTTTCCACAGTGACAACCTGTCTGATATCCCTTGTCATCTCTCTTCTCCCCTCCCCAGGTTTCCAGTGTTCATTTCCCAAATAAACCACTTGCCCTCCAACCCTGTATCAGGGTCTGTTTCTGACCTGTATGTGTTCCTCCCAGAAGTATATACAGCTATGGATCTCAATAAGGGTGACTCCGTCCCCCAGGAGACATTTGGCAATGTCTGAAGGTATTTCCGGCTGTAAAACTGGGGCAGGGGGCCAGACACAGTGACTCACACTTGTAATCCCAGCACTTTGGGAGACCAAAGTGGGCGGATCACTTGAGGTGAGGAGTTTGAGACTAGCGTGGCCAACATGGGGAAAATCCCGTCTCTACCAAAAACACAAAAATTAACCAGGTGTGGTGGTGAGTGCCTGTAATCCCAGCTACTCGAGAGGCTGAGGTGGGGGAATCACGCAGTGAGCCAAGATCATTCCACCTCACTCCAGCCTGGGCGACAGAGTGAGACTCCATCTCAAAAAAAAAAAAAAAAATTTTGGGCAGGGGTACTCCTGACATTTAGTGGGTCCAGTTCAGGGACGCTCAATGTCCTACAAGAGACTGGGCAAGGTGACTAAAGCCTGTGATCCCAGCACTTCAGGAAGTCAAGGCAGGAGGATCAGTTGAGGCCAGGAGTCCAAGGTCAGCCTGGGCAACATAGCAAGACTTCATGTCCCCTGCAAAAAAAAAAAAAAAAATCCTACAAGGCACAGAACAGTCCCCCAGAGCAAAAAATGATGTGGCCCCAAATGTCAAGAGTGCTGAGGTTCAGAAGCCCTGGTCTACGGGAAGCCACTGGGCCCCACGTGGAAACAGCTGAGTGCACACACATTATTCAAATGCAGATACACAGTGGGTGCACCGGCAGCATTAGGCCACACACACCCACTGTGCACCAAGCGTTCGAACTAGGGAAACAGGATCATCCACTCCTGGTGTGTTTTCCTACCAAGGTGTACAGACCACCAGAGGAGACCCCCAATTCCACCCTGCCCAGACCAGCTTTTTGTGCAACTAACTCACAGACACTCTGGAAAGTGCTTCAATGACCATTAAACCCATTTTACAGACGAGACAACTGAGGCCCAGACGGGGGCAGTTTTTTGTTGTTTTTTTGTTTTTGGTTTTGTTTTGAGACGGAGTCTCGCTCTGTTGCCGAGGCTGGAGGGCAGTGGCACCATCTCAGCTCACTGCAACCTCTGCCACCTGGGTTCAAACGATTCTTATGCCTCAGCCTCCCAAGTAGCTATAGGCGTGTGCCACCACACCCAGTTAATTTTTGTATTTTTAGTAGAGACAGGGTCACACCATGTTGGCCAGGCTGTTCTCGAACTCCTGACCTTAAGTGATCCTCCCATCTCGCCCTCCCAAAGTGCTGGGATTACAGGTGTGAGCCACTGTGCCCAGCCCAGACAGGAGAAGTTTATGACCCAGCAAGAAACCCAGAGGCCCCTGAGGCATGTGTAGACACGTGTTTGAAGGCAAAGAGGGCAGGATGAAAAGAGACCCTCCCCACCATCATCTCGGAGTTGAGATAAGGAGGGACAGAAAGGACTTTAGCTTCCCAGAGGAAATCCTGTATCACTTTGGGTAACTAGAAAATCCACTGAAAAATGTTTTTTAGGCTGGGCGAGGCAATGCTGGCCTGAAATCTCAGCACTGAGGGAGCCCGAAGCAGGAGGATCTCTTAAGCCCAAGAGTTGGAGACCAGCCCGGGCAACATGGCAAGACTTCTCATCTCTACAATAAATAAAATACAATTTTTGTTGTTGTTGTTTGTTTGTTTGTTTTGAGACGAAGTTTCACTTTCTGCCCAGACTGGAATGCAATGGCGCGATCTCTGCTCACTGCAACCTCTGCCTCCTGGGTTCAAATGATTCTCCTGCCTCAGCCTCCCGAGTAACTGGGATTACAGGTACATGCCACCATGCCCAGCTAATTTTGTATTTTTAGTAGAGATGGGGTTTCGCCATGTTGGTCAGGCTGGACTTGAGAAATTTTGACCTTCAGTAATTCACCCACCTCAGCGTCCCAAAGTGCTGGGGTTATAGGCATGAGCCACCACGCCGGGCCAAATACAATGTTTTTTAAACATACATTGTTTTTTAAACATTAGCTGACTCTTGGCCAAGCATGGTGGCTCACGCCTGTAATCCCAGCACTTTGGGAAGCTGAGGTGGGCAGATCACTTGAGGTCAGGAGTTCAAGACCAGCCTGGTCAACGTGGTGAAACGCTGTCTCTACTAAAAATACAAAAAATGAGCTGGGCATGGTGGCGTGTGCCTGTAATCCCAGCTACTCAGGAGTCTAAGGCAGGTGATCGCTTGAACCCAGGAGGCGGAGGTTGCAGTGAGCCAAGATCTTGCCACTGCACTCCAGCCTGGGTGACAGAGCAAAACCCTGTCTCAAACAAACAAACAAAACGGGCTGACTCTGGACTCACACAGGCCTGGTGTCTCCAATCCCAGCCTTGCCATTTTCTGGCTCTATGAACCTGGGTAAGTCGCATCGTCTCCCTGAGCCTCAGTTTCCCCATCTGAAAAACGGGGATTCACCCATTCGCTGTTCTACAAACGTGCACCCAGGACCCACTGACACCAAACCCTGCGCACAGCTTTAACCTATATAAAGTTAAGGCAGAACACGAACAGGGTAAGCGTGTTCACCCCTCCCCCAGGCACGGAGCTGCTGAACTAGTTTTGGGAATGGGGGAATCAGAGCATGCGTGTACACAGGGAGGGAGCCCTCAGCTGCCCGGGCCCTGCAGCCCACCACCCCCACTCTTCTCAGATCCCCCTGATTTGACCAAAAAGCCCCTCTAGAAGGACGTAGGACCCCAAGCAGGATCCCAGGGCTTGGCGTCCAAATCCAGGCTAGGAACTGACCTAAGCAGCCGGACAGGTGAGGGGACTAAAGCTCCGGTTTTCCCACCTCCGCTTCCCGCCGCTGCAGCGCAGGGAGCGAGCGCCACCTGTGGGCCGCCAAGGGGAGGTGCGTGCGACTCCCGGGGAAGTGGATGGAAGTGGATGGTCGCCCTCCTTTCTCCCCAACCCGGCGGGCCCTGGAGCCCCCCCAGGAGTTTCCGAAACAGCTCTCATCTCTTAAATTCTCCTCCACAACCCACTTTTCTCAGCTGCTGTTTCCCAGCTAGAACTCGTCGTCCACGTATTCATGCAACGTTTATTGAGCACCTACTCTATATTGAGCAAACCTAGATCATTGCTCTAGGTGTAGCCTACACAGAAGACAGAATAGGGCTGGCTCAGGCCTGTAACCCCAGCCACTCAGGAGTCT